AATAGCACGTACTTTATGAGACTTTGGTGAGGATTCGCCTAGCTGATGCAGGGAAGGAGCTCAGCAGGGTGCCTAGCCTGCATTGGCAGCACTCAGTAAACAGGAGCTATGGTGTGGTGGTCACATCTATAGTCTGAAGCATACACTCTGTTTCATAGAACCCTTGTGGTTGCTTGTATGGCTTGCTGACAGGACTACCTTGATATCGCTGGTAACGTCTGGGTCTTGGATCCCTCCTAATCTTCAATCATTGATCCGGCAGGAGGACTCAGCTCATGAGTCCTTCTTAATCTTGGGCCCTCTGTAAACGGAACTGCCATTGCAGTCGACATTTTCTAATATTCTGCCACATCTTCCGGAAAACAGGAACTTCTTACTCAAGAGAGATGGTATTTTATCAGGCAAGATCAAGCCATTCTGAGAGAGGGCAAATTACCTGTATGTTCTCATTCAGTGACCTTTCAGAAAAACTACTGCCATTTCCTTTTTTCTTTATTAAATGGCAGAAAAATTCTGCAAAAGCAATTAATGGAAGTTTGTAATTCTAACTATACTAAAGCCAACTTTTTTTTTGTCTCTATTATACTCAAAATGGCAGGTTGAATGAATCTTTGAAGTATGACTAGGGATTTCCATGGCAACAGGTAGGAGTAAGGGAGGAAACCAAGTTCTGGGGCATAAGTACTTTTCTCCCACTCCTTGGGGACCCTAGAGAATCTGTCTGTGGACAGCACCTTGCTGTGTGCTCAAGTCTGGAGCTCCAAGCACCCCCTTCTACTCAAGGTGGGGCCAATGGAGGTTGCAGTGCCTGCTTGTAGCAAAAGAATTCCAATGAATAATAATACCATGAATTGGATTATATTTTTCAATCCATAAAGTGTTATTGTTTACATTATTTTAGGCGGGGTAGAGGGATGAATTGGGAGTTTGGGAGTTTGGGATTTGCAGATACTAACTATATATAAAATAGATAGGTAACAAGGTCCTACTGTATAGCACAGGGAACTATATTAAATATCTTAAAATAGTCTACAATGAAAAGATGATGAAAAAGAATATATATGTATAACACTATGCTGTACACCAGAAATCAACACAATAATTATAAACCAATTATACTTCAATTTAAAATTAAATAAATTAGTGATCCTTAAAATATGAAATAAATAAGTCTTTGGCCTTAAAAAAAAATTATTTTATGTAGTCATGTTACCACTCTAACATAAGTTACCTCCATTCTAAAGGTGAGGAAGTGGGTTCAGAAAGGTGAAGTGGTTGGCTTGAGTCAAGTGGAAGAGCCAGGCCTTGTACCATCCAACTCTAAGAACATTCCTTGGGGCCATGGTATGTGCCAGAACCTTCTTCCCAGGGTCTCCCCTGTCCACTGTGGCAGGTTAGGTGGTTGGAGAGAGTGAGGCTTTACCTGCGTCCTCATTGGAGGCTGTAATGGAAAACGGGACACAGCTTTATGTATTTTCATGAAAGGCTCCCGTGCCAGAAGAGGGGACCAAGACTTTGTGGGAAAAAATGCATGTGGCATTTCTCCCATGGGTCCTGATTCTTTGCCTACTGAAGTGTAGAGGTCCTCATCAATCACAATAATGAAAGCCACTCTTACTGCGTCTTTTAACACAATCCTTCCACAGTTCCCTTCAATTGCACTGATTATTTTCCATTATGAGTTTATTCTTTTCTGAGCTTTTTCCTCAAGAAGCTTCTGCAATTTTAGTCGCAATTACTATTATAAGCAGTGGCTCTCTGGTGGCACAATGGAATGGATGGGGGTTGTGTCATTTCAACCTCTCTCATAAAGCATCCTCTGATTTTTGTTTGGGATGAGAGAACTGGCTGCTGATTGGAGTTGGATGGACTGTATGAGTATCCTGGCTCTTTCATTATGATGAAATAGCATTGCAATTATTTTCCAGCTTTAGAAGTATCTCCCTCCTTTCCTTTCTACTTCAAGCCTGCTGTGAAGCATGATTTTCTCTGGAAACTTTCCTGGCTCTCCTGCTTCCTTTTCATTCCCACCCTTATCTCAGACTAATCAGTGGCCATCTTAGACCCGCAGTGCATCATCTGCTCCTTTCTGGCTTCTTACTTTCTTGTCTTTATTCCAATGCATCCGACACAGAGCAGCATGAATACTTTCTTCAGCTTTTGTTTGGATTAGGTCACTCCCATTCTAAGAAGCCCAGAATAACTCTCAATTACTTCTTGAATAAAATTAAACCTCCTAATTATATACTCTAAAGTCCTCAGCCTGTAAACCCGTTCACTTAAAGGCCCTCCTTGGGCATCTTGCTCCAGCTACATAAGCCCGTTTATACTCCCTACCCATAGTGCACGTTTATATCCACCTATTAACCCATGAGCCTTGGAACATCCCACCCCTCCTATACAGAATGCCTCCCCTCTTCATTTTACCAGGAAAATAATTGGTTTAACTTTGTATAACTTGGTATTTCTCAAATTTATTTTCCCACAAAACACTTTTGCTCACAAGATGGCTATTCAAACTGTGCTAGATAGCTTCTTTACTCTTTGCTCCTCCAGATTCACCCTTGACCCTCCTTCACTCTGCTCTATGCTCATGGGGGAGGCTGACCTGTCTGAACCATATCAATGGGTCCCCCTTGACCTCTGTTGTGGTTAGTTTTATGTGTCAACTTGCCTGGGCTGTATTTCCCACTTATTTAATTCAGCCTGAATCTAGAGATTGCTGTGAAGTTATTTTTGTGGCTAACATTGACAGTCAGTGCACTTTAAGTAAAGCAGGTTACTGGCAATAATATGGGTGGGCCTCATCCAATCAGTTGAAGGCCTTAGAGCAAAATCTGCAGTTTCCTGAAGAAGAAATTCTAGTTCAAGATTGCAATATCAACGGCACACCTCCACCCCAATCACATGAGCCAATTCCTGAAAACTAATCTCTTTCCTTCTCAGTATTGCTTCTATTTCTCTGGAGCTTCTGGGTTGGTTTGGCCAGTAAGGCCTACCCACAGGTGATTAGAGGGAGGAAGGAGAGTGGGGTTAGGATATTTATTCTCTGGATCACACTCTGCTGGGTCAGTTATGGTTGCCTGCGTCCATGGACAAAAATCCTAGCTCTTATCTGGAGCCATCTTCTTGTGACCCTTCCCTTCTTGATTATGGGGTCAGTAAATCACTCTCTTTCCCCACAGGATGGTCACAGCTCCCTGCTCCTACTAGATCTGGGGGTCCTGCACTATGTCTTGTGGTTTCCCTCCACTCTGACCTCATCTCTGTGAATAGCCCATTGTTTAATTTCCCTCAAATTGCCCAATTTAAAGTACCCTTTGTTTCCTGACATATCATTAGCTGATACCACGTGAGACAGTGCTCCAAGGAACATACTTTGGGAAACTATGCTTTAACTTCAACCTTTCCCTTATTAGGGTGGCAAAATTAGATGGCTCACTGTTTCCCAAAACAGCCTGGGAGAAGCCAGGACAGACGTCATAGACAAAAAGATTTCTGGGTTAGGGGTTGAACCTAACGTTCAGTTCAGCTGGAGGGAAGGTGGGCATGGTGACAGAGTGAAAACTAACATTTGTGGACTTGGCGATTATAAAATACTTCTGCACATTTAATCTCATTTGAGCCTCTCAACAATCCCAGGAGGTGGGCAATTATCCTGTGTCACAGATAATCAAGGAGATGAGCAAATGAGCAGGGTGTGTTCAGGGATGCTGGAGAAACCTATTTAATTAAAGTAGAGAGTTCTTGATGAAAAGTAGAGAAGAATAAGGTTTCTATAGGACAGGCAGGGCCATATTATGCATGTTCCTGAGGGTGGAGGTGAGGAGTTTGGGTTGATGTAAGAGGCTGCAGAGAGCTTTTGAAGAATTATTTTAAAATTTGTAGTTGACTATATGAATAATTACATGTTCATGGTAGAATATTTAGGAAAGTAAAGTCTAAAGAAGAAAATAAACATCACCCATAATTTTATGACCAGGCTATATCCTTGTTTTTTTCCTCTTCAAACTCGAGATCAATCAACATTGATAGTATTGTGCCGTGTTTTATTCATCTGATGCAATTTCTTAACTGTGGCACCATTGACAGGATAATTCTTTGTTGTAGGGGGAGAGAGTTGCCAGTGTATTGTAGGATGTTTAACAGCATCCCTGGCCTTTACCCAGTAGATGCCAGTAGTGCCCCTACCCCTATTTATGATGAGCAAAAATGAATCCAGACATTGTCAACTGTCCTTTGCTAGGCAGAATCATAGATTCTGAATCTATGATCCAACTATATTGTGAGCACTTTCTCCATATCATTAATAATCATTGAAAACCCATGTGATGGATATACCATACTTTATTTACTCATGGCTTTTTTGTTGTTGTTGAATGTTTAGTCTGTTATATATATATATAAATAGATATTGAAAAAAATATATATATTGCCATCATGAGTGATGATGTATCCTTACATATAAATCTTTAGTTGGATCTCTGATTATCTCCTGAGGACCAATCCCTCGAAGTGCATTTCTGAGTCAAAGGGCATGAACATTTCAAGGCTCCCAGTATATTTGTCTGAAAAAGGGCCTTCTAGAATGGTTGTACGAATAGACACACCCACTAAACAGTGATTCATGAGTATTCCCATGCCGACCCTCATACCAACCCTCGTAAGCCATGAGGATTATCCTTCAAAACACTCCTTCAAAATACTTTTTTACAGGTTAAAAAAAATATCCTGAATATTTTAATTTGCACTTTTTGATCTTTGGTAAAGTTTGCTCACGTGTTGCTTCGAAATTTGACTTCCTCCTACCTAACTTGTAAATTGTTTTTATTTTGTTTACTTTTAAAATGTGTTGACTTCCTCTTACGTATTGCAAAGTGTTGAATGTTTTAATCATTATGAGGGCAATGTTTAGAAAAACATCAGCTGGCTTGTGTTTAGGGGGTACTATACTGATTTTAAGTTCTTTTTCTGAAGTGTATTGTTTTCTCAATTTTCAGCTCATATTCAGTTTCCCGACCATGTCAGAAAGTCATTCAACTTTTGGAAGAAAATCTGTCTCCTTCCTTAAAAGAGGCATTGAGAGAAAGAAAGAAAAGAAAGTAACTTTCAATAGACTTTTCAATTTTCTAGTTTACAGCCTCAAAGTTGCACTTCATGTAGCTGAGTCTACTGGTGTTTTCTCATTAGTATTATACAGTAGATTGTTAACTCACTGTGTTCTCCCAGGGATGCAAAACTGGAACTGGAATCCAGTCCTGCTCTTCCCTCATCTATTTCTATAATCTTGGGCGAATTTCTTCATGTTCCTGAACCTCTCTTCATTTGTAAAATAACACGGGGAGAGAAGATGATCTCTCAGAACCTTTCAAAATCTGTATATTTGTGTTCATGTGAGAGAAGGAAGAGAACTCAACCAGCAACCACTTGGGACCCTGGAGTCTTGTTTTGGGTGGGGAAGGAGGAGGGTTGGGATTCTGAAATAATATAATAAAAAATGTCAAATGTAACACTTGTATTTGTATTCTAATCATTAATGAACTTTACTTGGTTACCTTTTTTCATTCTACAGCCCTTTTGTTCACCAACAGTGAGAATTTTCCTGGAGTGTTGAATGCGAAAAGGGCAGAGATAGAATGTGAATGTTAATATAGGGCTGTTGTTGAGACAGGAAGTCACAAAATTGCATTTGCCAGTGATATAATATATGTAATTGTTATCTATACATGTTACAATTAATATGTATGTACTATATCTATAAATATTATATATAATTGATCCATCCATATATCTGCTTATTGAATGTCTTCTCCACAGGAATGGAAGTTCCATGAGGGGAGAGACTTTATCTTGTCCATCATGGGATCTTCAGCACCTGAGACAGTGCCCAGCACATGGTACCTGCTCAGTAGGTAAGTGAAGAAGAGTTGCATAAATGAATGAATGAGGATGTCAGCTCTCAAAAACACAGGAGATAAATGTTGGCAAGGATGTAGAGAAAAGGGAACCCTTGTGCACTGCTGGTGGGACTGTAAACTGGTGCAGTCATTGTGGAAAACAGTATGGAGGCTCCTGAAAAAATTAAAAAATAGAACTACCATATAATCCAGTAATCCCATTTATGGGTATGAATAGAAAGGAAAGGAAATCACTATCTTGCAGAGATATCTGTGTCCCTGTGTTCATTGCGGTAGCATTTACAATAGCCAAGACTTGGAAACATCCTAAGTGTCCATTGATAAGTGGATAAAGAAAATGTGATGTAAATGTATAATGGAATATTATTCATCCATGAAAAAGAATGAAATTCTGCCACTTGCAACAATGATGAAATTGGAGGGCATTATAATAAACCAGACAGAAAGACAAACACTGTATGGTATCATTTATATGTGGAATCTGAAAAAAAAAAAAACCTCATAGAAACAGTACAACCGTGGTTGCCAGAGGCTGGAGGTTGGGGAAATATTGGTCAAAGGGCACAAAATTTCAGTTAGATGAATAAATTCTGAGGATCTAATGTACAGCACAGCGACTATAGTTAATAATTCTGTATTGTATACTTGAAACCTGCTGAGAGTAGATCTTAAGGATTCTTACCAAAAAAAAAGGAAGGGGAGGAGGTAACCACGAAAGGTGATAAATATGTTAACTAACTTGATTATATATATATTATGAAATGACTAACACATACAACGTGATGGTTTGATATACGCATATATGTAAATACATTAATTTTTTTTGTTAATTATACCTCAGTACCCCTGGAAAACAATCAGTGACTGAGTAAACTGGGTATCTCTGCAGCACATACAAATACAACTCATGAGTACAACTTACTCAGCCACAAGAGCTCTCTGCTTGTAACGGTTTTGTGTCTGTAGAGCTTGCACCCTAATCATGTTCCTCTAAATGTGTCCTCTGAAGACAACCCCAGCATAGGTAGCTGTTTTTCAGTTAACTAAAATGATGAAACCAATCATGTTTGTGAATGACTGACTGAAGGAATGGATGTAGAAATGAAAGAGGTGAAGGCACAAATGAGTTAACATGCAAGTAAAACGAACTTGGCTAAAAAAATAAATTTAAAGAAGAGTTTCCCTTTACCATCATTTTGTTACCACACGTGGGCTGGCTGCTTGCCACTCATTAAATCAATAAGCAGAGGCAATGCTGACAGAAAGGAAAATTACTTTTAATCAGAATGCTGGCAATTTGGGGAGATGATGGACTTAAGTCCCCAAGGACCATCTCAGAAGATTCTGCTTAGCCATGGAAGTTTTAAAGGGAACAGGGGAAAGAATCATTGAGACAGGGGTCAGAGTTGGCGCCACCCCCTGGAATGCATGCAGGCATCGTGTGCAGGCTTCGTTGTGCAGGCTTCGTTGTCGGCATCCCCAGTGCATGCAGGACTGTCAATTCTCTGAATTTCTTTTAGATGCTATCTTGTTCACGAAGTTTGTTTGTAAAATAATCCAAGGGGAAGCTGATCTGGTCATATGTTAATTACTTATTCTTCACTACAACTTCTTTGATCTAGGAAAGAACCAACAGATTAGGCAAGGTATTGTGTGATCAACAGAAAGGGATGAGGGTGCCTGGTTTAAGGTTAGTCACAAGACAAAAGGAGCCTCCTGCAGAGAGCTGTTTCCTGCCCAAAGCTGCCTACATGGTGGTAGTTACAGTATCTATAAAATAACTCAGCTTAATCACCAACTGCTTGACCATGCTCTTTTGTGACTCACTCGGGGAGGCCTTGGAGACTTTAGCTTTTCTATAAACAAAAGGCAGGGGATGGTGGGAGGCAGGGGTGGAGGTGCACAAGGTCCTGCTTGGCTGCAATTTAAATGCTTTTATGAAGATAATTTTGGAAATAAGTTCTGCCAATATGATTATCATTTATTAAGGCAGAAATGCATGAAAGCAGGTGCTATCAAATATTTTATCACTTAGGATGTAGATTAATATGTGTTCACAAATGTATTAACAGAAAGGATGGTGAAGCTACAGATGCAGATAATCTATCTGTCTATTGTCTATCTACAGATACAGTTACAGGGAGAGGGAGCCCAGTTCAGGACTACGAAACACTGAGAAACATTGAGCGCCATTTGCTGCCTCACTTGTAAAATGAGAATGGAAATTCTGTCAAAGATGGTAGGGAATAGATATGATTGCAATGATTGCAAGACATTTGCAAAATACAAATAGATTTTGTGACATTATCATTGCAGTAGCAGGCAGTTTCAAACTTATGTTAGAGAACTTCATTCTGCTTTGAAGTTGTAGATAAGTAATTAAACAGCACGAGACTTCAACACTTTGTAATTGTGTGTAAAATTTGTTCCAGAAGTTCAGCAAGGCTGAGGCATAGGGCCGTGCCTTTGCCAGTTGTTTTCAAATGGGCGGTCAGGGTGTCTGGGCACTCAAATGAATGCTCAAAAGTAGTAAGACAGGAGAGTCGATTTGAATCACACATTCTCTTCAGAGACAAACTTCTTCAGTCTCTAAACAAGTTAAATCACTACTTCTTAAAATGAATTACCCTTTCTGCTGGCAATTGAAGGGACTTTTCAGCATTTAACCAGCACCCATAATGTGCATTTGGCAGTGAGCTTATATTTTATGGTTTATTCTTCAGAAAGCTTTCATTCAGCCTGTTTTGAGGTTCTAATGACTACCGTGACTATGTCTAATTAGTTTGTGGCAGACTTCAGTGGGCTATTCACCACGCTTGTTTTCTTTCCTTCTAGACACACAGCTGGACTACATTTCCCAGCTTCCCTTGCAGTTAAGGACAGTCAGGTGTCTGAGCACTGGCCTGTGAGGTATAGGTGGAAGCTCTGTGGATCTTTCAGGTTTGATACATTACAACCTTGCCTGTGATCCTCTGCTCTAAGGTGGCAAAATCTTGTCACCTTAGTCTCTGGAATATTCTGTGGAGCAGGTTACTATGCAGTAACCAGTTACCAGCTCCAGTCTCCAGCTGACAGGGCTTTATTTGAGAGAGTAATCAGCTTTGAGATTTCTAGGCAGCTAGCATTACCATAATTCACATAGAGGATAGAGAATGGAAGAGTAGAAGCAACAGAAATACGGTGCAAACAACAGAAGCAGAAATTTCGATGACCATTACGTTTGTAAAAATAGAAATGACAGGAGTGGGATTGACCCCTCCCACTGTAGTGATCTGAGCCAGTTCATTTTCAAAACATTACGCAGCAGCTGCCCACAAGCTGGTAAATAATTGAAGCGGGGCCTCAGTAAGAACCAACAAAAATGATAACCAAAATGAATGTAAAAAATTTCAGTTCAGAAAAAAATTCATGAAAAAGGACACTACCCTGTTTATAATTCAAAGACAAAAAGATCCTGGTGGGTGTGGCCATTTGGGAAAGAGGCACTGTCCTTAGCAATCATTACAGGAGCCCTCAGGAACTCTGGAGTGAAGAAACCTCCTTCAGCATCATTAAGATGGAATGTAGTGAGAAGAAATGAGAAATACAATCAACAGGACGGTGTGATAATCAAGTCCTGTTCCCCGAAGCTATCAGGCAAGAAAGAGGAAAAAAAAAGATCTTTTTTGCTGAGTAAAATTGAGCATCTCTTCAGCCCCTCTTATGATAACATCAAAGCTTCTCTTATTTTAATACAATTGAATTAGATAGCCCTGTGGAAACATAAATTGTACAGTTATAACTAGGGTAACCATGTTACTTTAGTCCAAACCAGGACACTTTCAAAGTGGAAGGGGGAAGGTCTGAAATACTTATTTTGTTGGTCAATAAATAAATATTTATTTATTTATTGACCACTGATTTGGTTTTATTATACTGATGGATCTAAAAATAGTTTTACTAGAAGTAAAATCTTTCAAAAGTAAAACTAATATATCTATATACATTACAGCAAAATGAAAACATTTTGACATTGATAATTTTGACAATTTTGACATTAAAAAAATAACAGAAGCAGAGCAATTCTTGTCTATATTTACACATTTTAAAAAGTTGAGGTATATTACTTTCAGGTGTATAACATGATTCAGTATTTGTAATTTATACATTTTTAGTAAGTTTATTAGCTGCATCTCTTTAAGACTCTGTCACTGATGTTTATCTAAAGAATGTATTTTAATAGGGTTTTGGTCAAAATGAATGGCCTTGTGGCACAGAGTTCTGGGTCTTCAGACCTCTGGCAGCTGCTTGTGTTAAATTATTATCTTCAGCAACTGGGTTTGGAAAATGGCAAATTTTCAAGGAGATGCTGATTCCTCTTTAGTAGGTGTGGTCTTCGGGTTTTCAGGTAGAAAATGATATTAAAAGGACCCTCATTGTAGATGGTAAGTGTTAACAAATACTTTGTGCAAATCAATACCTTTCTTGAGGGAAGGAAATTCAGGGTTTAATTTTCATTAAACACACTTTTTGTGAGCTCACTGCTACAAAATAAAAAAAAAAAGCTTTGCCAAACAATGAAATAAATAAATGATTGAAATCTACCCCATACCATAAAAAGCACTGTTAAAAGAGCATTTGGATGACTCTCCACATATTCTACAGAAGGATTATTGCCCAGCCTTGATTTCCTACACAGATTTTGCATAGTCTTAACCTAAATTGCCTTGCGTTCCCACCAGCACCCCTAACAAGTGACCTGCCTTGTTTGTGTCTTTCTCAGGCTGTAACAGACCAGTTACTACCAGGTAGCTCATCACGTGACTGGGTGTCAGCAGCATCAAATATTTGTCCTCCAACCACCCCGTTCTAGAAGGGGTTAACTGTCTGAGAGAGATTAAGAAGAAGGCCATATCTTTGCACTTCTCCCATCAAGAGGCTGAGCCTGGCCCAAGTTGCTGACACACAGACTCATGAGCAAACAAAATGGTGGTTGTGTTAAGCCCCTAAGTTTGGGGGTGGTTTGTTAGGCAGTTATTGATAACTGATTCCCTGTCCTTAGATGGTCTAGTTCTGAGAACACTTCATTTTATCAGGTAGTGCTCTGCATGTTATCCTTGAAAGGGTGGTGGTGAGAAATCTGTGTCCGGAAAAGATTGGAAAAGAAGCAATTGGTTATTAGTAACCATGTTTAATATTTAGTTACTTGTAGAAGGGTGAATTTAATTCGCTGCCTTTGGGTCTCCCATGCTACTGTGGCAGACCATCACAGAAGCTGAAATTACAAGATAGAAGTCTATTAAATTTATTTAGGTTATATAAATACATCTTTTAATAGTATTACTTCCGAAATAGTCAAACTCAAAGAAGCAGAGGGTAGAATGGTGGTTGCCAGGGATGAGAGGAGGGAGAAATGGGGTGATACTGGTCAAAGGGTACAAAATTTCAGTTATGAAAGGTGAATAAATTCTAGAGGTCTAACGTATAGAATGGTGAGAATTGTTAACAATGCTGCATTGTATACTTGAAATTTGCTAAAAGAATAGATCTTAAATCTCTTGGTATTAACAGATACACACTGCTATATATAAAATAGATGAACAACAAGCACCTACTGTAGAGCACAGGGAACTATATTCAATATCTTGTAATAACCTATAATGGAAAATGATCTGAAAAAGTGTGTATGTGTATATATATATAACAGAATCACTTTGCTGTACCCCTGAAACTAACACAACATTGTAAGTCAACTATATTTCAATAAAAATAGAAAAAAAATCTCAACACACTCACACAATGGTAACTAGGCAGAGATGATGGATATGTTAATCAACTTGAATAAGTACTGTTATTTTAGGTCTAACCCACCATCAACTGGAGATACATCCTGGGTGACATTGCCTGTGGTGGTGGTGGTGATGGATTTGAAACATACCATGGGAAGCTAGAAGCCTTGAATAAAATTGTAAGTAGTTTCAAAACATTAAAACATCAAATAGATTTTTTTTAAAAAAGAGAGTGAATGGTCCACAAGGAATATAGTCAATATTTTATAATAACTTTGTATATAGTATTATCTACATTGTATACCTGAAACTAATATAATATTAGAGTCAGCTGTCCTTCAAAAAAAAAAGAATGGTCACCTTAGGCATTTAAAGCATCATTAAGGGGAGAATTTCAGGCTCTTTGTGGGCAGGAGGCAATCAAATATAGGTTGTAGAGAGTAGGCTCTTGCATCAGCTGCGATGGATTTGAATTCTGATGAATTTACCACTTAGTAGTTGGGATTTGGGGCACATCATTTAACTCCATATGCCCCTCAACTGTATTATGGGAAAAATAACTACCTCTGTCACAGAGTCCATCTAAGAATTAAATGCATTAGATATATATATATATAATATATATATATTATATATAATATAAAATACATTGAAAACAGTGCCTGGTCAATAGCAAGTACTCAATGTGTGTTGTTTATCATGGTCCTCAGGCTTTTGAGATAATTGTTAGTGAATACAGTCTGTGACAACACTGGACTAGAAGAACCACAGGTCACACCCAGTATAACATTTCTTGCAGCTTACGTGTTTTATTTTCTTAGGGTGTATGATCCATTAAGCAGTGATGTTGGACACTAACACTGCTATTAATGTTGGGTTAGTAGATCATACACATGGACACATTTGGTGACAATAGCCATCCAAACAAAGAAGGTATAACCCCTAGTTAGGGGCACAGCCACTGTGGCTCAAATAGTTCTGTCGTATTTTTCACATAACAAAGAATCTGGAGTTGAACCGTCTAGGGTTGGTGTCTCCACAATGTGGTCGGCTGCTTCTCCAGCAGGGTGCCCACAGGCAGAGCAGAAGGGTACACGGTGGAGGATGTCCTCTCTAAGTCTGTGCTGGTGCGGGAGCTCCCTTAGAAGCCCCACACAGCTTCCTCCTACACTTCATTGGTCTTAACTGGGTCATCTGGTTCTCCCATCTGCAAGCGAGGCTGGGGAATGAAGTTTTCAGCTGGGCATATTGCCTCTTGCAGCAAAGCAGAATTTTGTTAGGAAGGAAAAAGGGGGAAAGAGCTATGGGCTTGTTCAAGGTAGAATTCTGTTTTCTGCCTTTAGGTCCCACTTGCTATTTATTGCACATGATCCTGTGGAACTGGCATTACAAAGTGGGTGTCTATTCAACCTGCCCCAGCTGACTTGCTCCACATCATGTTTTTTCATCTTCCATGCAGTGGTCATGAAGTCACACAGATACATTCATTAAGGGACTGGAAGAATTTATAAGCACCTGGGAGACCCATCTCAAAATGTTTCTTTGAAAGACCATTTAGCCAATTCAAGAGATTGCTTTGTGAACAACAATGTCTCTTTAGAGGAATATGGGGAAAGTCAAGCCATAATGCTTTGTTTTGGAGAATTTGTATCATCCTGTCCCTGGATACATTTTAACAACCACAGGCAGGAAATAAAAGCACGATTTTTCTTGTTCTCAGAGCATTGTAAGAACAATAATATCTCTGAGACCAGGTTTGGGTTGGTTTTCTCAGCAACTGTTAGCAAAAGCCTGTTGTGATAATATGTAAACCTCTGAAGTGAAAGATGAAACACAGCAGGGTGATTTCCTGTGTTGGAAATCCACCCCCCACCCCCACTTCCAAGTAAAAGCTAGTGACCGAATATCTCCCTACCCTTCATTTGGGTAGCACTTTGTCCCTCTATTCTTTTGTTTCATAGTTACTTTGTCTTCTGTTAGCTACTTTTGGATCTATTCCTTCTTCATTTCTCCCTCCTTGACACTGAAATATATTAAAGGTAGAGACTAAGACAGATCTTTCTCTCCCTCGTGGCTTCTACACCAGCACCGCCCAGTTGACACAGAATGAATCACTAAGTTTTCTGCATGCTAAATATTCTCATAGCTACATTTAAAAAAGTAAGATAATTTTAACAGTATAATTTATTTAGCCCAATATATTCAAAACATGATCATTTTAACATGTAATGACTGTAATACAATTGTTGAGATATTTTACTTTTTTTTTTTTTTTTTTGGTATTAAATGTTTGAAAGCTAGTGTGTACCTTATACTTACTTCACATCTTGTTTTGGAAGAGGCACATTTCAAGTGCCCAGTAGCCACGTGGGACTGATGGTTGCCATATTGGACAGCATAGGTCTGGACAATGAGAGTTCATCATAATCACCAGTACAAATGTTCTTAGGCCCCCAAAGAGGCTGTTAAATGCTAGGATTTTAGGAGATATTTTAGTTACAGATCAATGTGGTTCAAAAAAAATTTGCTCCCTTAATAGAGTGGCCAGCTTTATGCTTCATTAACTGGGTTTAAGAGATGGAGTAGGGAGAAATTTTGCTTATCTGGATTCATACAATAACTTGACCTCAGAGAACACTGAATTGGGTTCTCTCATATTACAGGTGGAGGAAACTAGGATTCAGACTGGTTAAGTGGGTTGTCCAAGGTCACATGTCTAGTCCGTGGCAGAGCAGTACTAGGACCCAGTGATTCATCCAACATTTATCTAACAAAGTTATCAAGAGCCTTCTCTCTGCAAGGTACTGTGCTAGGTACTTGGGATATAAAGTTATTAAGACACAGTTCTAGTTTATGGGGAATTTACAGATAAGAGCGGTAGGCAAGGAATAGGAATCATGCCATAGAGCCTTCTGGATATTTATAAACCTTGCACAGTGGAGCCCAAAAGAGGCAAAGTGGTGTAAGGGACGGGATGTGGGAAGGCTTATGTGTTGCCCATGTCAGTGCCTCCTAGGTCCTGAATTCAAAATGGTGGGCAGGGAGGAGCACCTACTACTTGATTAACACACCATTAAATGTGGAATTTCTTTCTTCTTGAATATAGTTAGGCATTTTCCTTCAATGTCTTTGGGGCATGTCTTAGCTTGTGTTTCCCCCAAAGCATACCCTAAGACAAGGACTTGGGTACAGATCACTTAATTGGGAGGCAACCCCAGGATGCATAAGTGAGGGCATAGGGGATGAGGCAAGGAAGAGAGAAAACCTGAGGAAGGGGAGTTCATGTGTGCATTGCAACTGGGGCTCAATCCTGCTAGGCCTGTTGGAAGACAATTGTAGAAGACCCCTCAGAGTTGTCCCAGCCTCTGAAGGGGAAGCTGGGGCATTTAGCCACTGAGTCTTGGGGTGTTGAGTCTGGGCTGCCTGGTGTACAGGCTAAATGTACTTCCTTGGTAGCAGAGGAACATGGGTGCTTGAGGCAGGGAACTGCCAGGGGGTCCAGGGCCATCCGCTGTAGCTGCATGTGGACTCCAAAGTGGGCAGAGGTCAAACCGGGCAGGACACCAACAGTGTCTGCCACAGATGTCTGACCCTTCATCATTTAGAACCAGTGTTATGTCTTAATGTCTTTTT